CCCCCCTGTGTACACTACCACCCTGCCCTGCACCCGCTGTGCATCCCACTCCTCCTTCACCCCATGTGAACAACACCACCCTGCCCTACACCCCCTGTGTGCACCCTGCTCCTCCCTCACCCCCCTGTGTACACTACCACCCTGCCCTGCACCCGCTGTGCATCCCACTCCTCCTTCACCCCATGTGAACAACACCACCCTGCCCTACACCCCCTGTGTGCACCCTGCTCCTCCCTCACCCCCCTGTGTACACTACCACCCTGCCCTGCACCCGCTGTGCATCCCACTCCTCCTTCACCCCATGTGAACAACACCACCCTGCCCTACACCCCCTGTGTGCACCCTGCTCCTCCCTCACCCCCCTGTGTACACTACCACCCTGCCCTGCACCCGCTGTGCATCCCACTCCTCCTTCACCCCATGTGAACAACACCACCCTGCCCTACACCCCCTGTGTGCACCCTGCTCCTCCCTCACCCCCCTGTGTACACTACCACCCTGCCCTGCACCCGCTGTGCATCCCACTCCTCCTTCACCCCATGTGAACAACACCACCCTGCCCTACACCCCCTGTGTGCACCCTGCTCCTCCCTCACCCCCCTGTGTACACTACCACCCTGCCCTGCACCCGCTGTGCATCCCACTCCTCCTTCACCCCATGTGAACAACACCACCCTGCCCTACACCCCCTGTGTGCACCCTGCTCCTCCCTCACCCCCCTGTGTACACTACCACCCTGCCCTGCACCCGCTGTGCATCCCACTCCTCCTTCACCCCATGTGAACAACACCACCCTGCCCTACACCCCCTGTGTGCACCCTGCTCCTCCCTCACCCCCCTGTGTACACTACCACCCTGCCCTGCACCCGCTGTGCATCCCACTCCTCCTTCACCCCATGTGAACAACACCACCCTGCCCTACACCCCCTGTGTGCACCCTGCTCCTCCCTCACCCCCTGTGTGCACCCCGCTCCTCCCTCACCCCCCTGTGTACTACCCTCCTGTGTACTGCCACCCTGGCCTGTACCCCCTGTGTGCACCCCGCTGCTCCCTCATCCCATGGGTGCACTGCCATCCCGCCCTGCACCCTCCGTCCCCTGCATCCCAAAACCTTCATGCATTTGCCAGGCTGGGCATGGGTAACGGGGCGGGATCACTGGTTGATTCCCTGTTCTCTTCCCTCCCTCCCTCCAGGGCATCTGGCACTAGCCACTGTTGGAAGACAGGACACTGATGTCCTTGGGACCTTGGGTCTGACCTAGATGGACCTTGGGTCTGACCTGTCTGGCTGTTATGTATTCCCCCACCTATCCCTGTCCTGTACCCCCTGTGTTCATCCCTCACCCTCTGTCCCTGCATCACAGCCACCCCACCCTCAATTCCCCACACTCCAGTTACCCCCCTCCCTGCACCCGGGGTCCTCTGTCCCCACGTACCCTCACCCTGTGCCCCGGGTGCATGCCACATCCTCAATCCCCAAACCCCAACCACCTCGCTGAACCCCTTGTGTGTACCTCCACCTTCTGTCCCCCACATTCCAACCCTGCAACTCCTGTGTGCATCCCACACCCTAACCATCTTTCCCTGCACCCCTGGTCCTCTGTCCTCACCTATCCCCGCTCTGCACCCCCTGTGTGCATCCCACATCCTTCACCCCCCTCACTCCAACCACCCCACCTGTACCCCGTGTGCACCCTGCACCCTCTATTTCCTGAACCACAATTACCCCATCCTGCTTCCATGGTCCTCTATCCTCACCTACCTCTTTGTGCACCTAACCCCATCTATCCCCTCCCTGCATCCTTTGTGTACACCACACATCCTCCATTCCCCTCACCCAAACCACGCTGTCCTGCACCCTGTGTGCACCGTGCACCCTCTGTTCCTTGAACTACAATTACCCTACTCTGCATCCACTGTCCTCCATCCTCACCTATTTCTTGTGTCCACCCTACCCCACCTATCCCTGCCCTGTATCCCTTGTGTGCACACCACACTCTGTCCGTCCCCCTTACCCAACCACCCCACCCTGCACCCTGTGTTCCCCTCACCGAACCCCTCCACCTGCAGCCCCACATCCTCCCCACCCTGCATCCCTGAATGCACCTCCACATTCTGTCCCCTGAACCAGTTACCCCACCCTGCACCCTCAGTTCTCCATCGCTACGTACCCCTGCCGTGCACCCCATCCTACATCCCTCTCACCCCAACCAACCCACTCTGCACCCCTTGTTTACATCCCCTAGTCTCCATTCCCTGCACCCCAACTGCCCCTGCCCTGCACCTGTTCTCCTCCATCCCTCCATCCCACACCCCCTGTGTGCATACCATCCCCGACACCCCAGCCACCCTAATGTACACCCCCTGTGTGCACCAGCATTCCAGCCACCCCACACTCAGTACACTTCTCATCCTATGTCCCCCTCACCTCAATCACTCAGTCTGCAACCCTGTGTGCAGCCTGCATCCTCCGTTGCTCACACCCCAGCAACTTGCCCTTCACCCCTGGTCTTCCATTCCCACCTACCTCGGGCCTGCACCCCCGTGTGCATTCCTGTCCTCTGACCCTCTTCCCACTTTACCTTCCCCCCATGTGCACCTCACATCCTCTGTCCCCTGCATCCCAATCCACACCACCCTGCCCCCATGTACACTTCCAGCCCTCCGGTCCCTGCACCGCCAGCCACCTCATCCTGTATCTCCTACTTACACTCCACACTCTGTCCTCACCTACTCCGGGTGCACTCTCCTGCCCTCCACTCAACTACTCTGTACTCCCTTGCTCCCCAGTTACCCTCGCCCTGTATTCCTCTGTCCCCTCCTATGCTGCATCCTGCACTCCCCAAATACTTCTGCTTTGCACCCCTAGGTATATCCCATCCCTCACGCTAGTTACTCCCCCACCACGCACCCCCGCAAACTACCCACACTCTCCACCCCCCTCATCCCCAACTACCTGCACCTTGCACTCCCTCTGTGCACTCCAGGCCCCCCATCCTTCTCACCCCTGCTCTGTACCTCACACACCTATATTACCCCCCTCATAAACACCACACACCCTCCGTCACCCTCACCCCCTACTATCTTTCATTCTGAGTTCCCATGTGCTCCCCAGTCCCTCTAGCCCCCTCAGTCCTGTTTTTCACCCTGCATGCCCTATGTACACCCCACACCCTCTGTTCCCCTCATCCCTGCTTTGCACTCCATATCCGCCATCCTTCTCACCATTGCTTTGCATACTGCACCCCCTTACCCTATGTACCCCATCTAGCATACCCATATACAACCCATGCACTCCACCCCTTCACCAATATCACCACATACCCCACCCTGCACCCCTTACATCCCTATCTTGCACACTCCATGCCCTCCACTCCATACACTCCTGCATATTCCATCCAGCATCCCCTGCTCCGTATAACCTGTACTTCATTCACTCCATTCAACCCCCATCTTACACCCCATTTATTGTATCACCCTTACCCCATACACCTGCACTGCATAGATACGCCAACCTGTTTTCCCCATGGCTTGTACAATCTTACCCCATACATCCACATGTATCCTCCCACCATGTATTCCCATCAAGGATGTAAAATTGCACTTAATCTGTTAACTGGTTAAATGAAATGTTTAACCGGTTCACCGTTATCCCTGTGTGTGGGGGCTACTTTGGTCAAGGTGAGCTGGAGCACCCCGCAGCATGGCACAATCTCTCAGCTCCTGTTGGCTGGAAACTACAGCGCAGAGAGCTATGTGAACCAGCTAGCCATTTTGAGCCACGGGCTGTGGCAGACAGGAAGTCTGCCTGAGGGTCCTGCTGGCTGGAGCCACCTGGTTAAATGCCTCCTGACTAGAACCTGCACCTAGTACCTCACCCTCTCTTGAACCCCAACTCCCTGCCTCAAGTCACCACCTAAACCCTCTGTACCCTCTCCTTGTCCCACATCACAACACCCTCCTAGATCCTGCACCCCATCCTACATCCTATTGCCCCCCGCCCTATACCCTATAATATCCCTGCCCCTTCACTCTTTTCCCCATGTACCTCTCTCATTCTCTATGCCACCCTCCTATTAAACATAATCCATCATCCCTGCCCACATATCTTCTGCATCTTCCCCTTCTCCCTGTGCCCCCTTCTCACATCCTTGATCCCTCCTAGATCCTGCACCCCATCCTACATCCTATTGCCCCCCGCCCTATACCCTATAATATCCCTGCCCCTTCACTCTTTTCCCCATGTACCTCTCTCATTCTCTATGCCACCCTCCTATTAAACATAATCCATCATCCCTGCCCACATATCTTCTGCATCTTCCCCTTCTCCCTGTGCCCCCTTCTCACATCCTTGATCCCTTCTCCTCCTCCTATCCTCTTTCCCCCTACATGCCATCTAATACTGCTCTCTTCCCCATATACCTCTTTCACCTCATTCTCTGCTACATGTTTGTGGCTTACAATCTACTTCTCCCACAAACTTAGATCATAGCTGCTCCCCTAATCTTCGCCCCTACACATTTTTCCACCCTCCAATTTTGTTTCCCCTTTCCATCTACCCCTGCATCTTTATTTCTCCAGACCCCCCACTTATCCTGTTCTTTCAAACTAAACAAATCTTAAATGGGCAGCACGTTTTGAAAACATTCTCTTCCATGCACCAACAAATTTAGTGATTCTAGATGCTTCACATTGAGTTGTGTCTGCTAATGAAATGAGTGTTCCAAATCTCACCCTCACACCCTCTGTGTATTGTTTCATGGGGTTGTGGCACACTCAAAGAAGTTCAAGAGGCTGTAAGGCTAGTTGGTGATGATTGGAAAGAGGGGATGAAAATAAGTACTCCAAACTTTGTTCTATTCCTGTCTGCTTTCATGTTATTCCACATCTATTGCTGGATCTGCTCATCTTCCTGTGAACTGGATCCCCATGCTAGTGAAACCTTCCCAATTTCCAGATTTATCCCTACACAAAAGAAAACCCTTGCAGCCCAAGCTTCTTCCTATCATATTCATGCTTTCATGAAAAGCTGCCTCTTAACTCAAAATTGTCACATTAGCACATACACACACTCTCTCTCTCCTTCCCTGATGAGCCTCCCAGTGCTATGCAACACTTATCCAAGGGGTATGGAAAGGTCTCTTACATGTTAGCTGTGTTCTCAAGTTCCTTCCTTCTTTCAAGACTTTAAAGAAACTTTATAATTTCTGTCATATCATATAAACCCACTTTACAGAATGAATAACAGTGACACTTTTCAATATGTTTAAAGTATGAAGCAGTAGATTGAGGTGAAAGAGGAACAATAGGTGGCTATTCGCAAGAAGGAACTAGAGGAATGGTATTCGGAAGAGGATTGCAAAAGTAGCTGCTTGTACTTTCAGCAGATCTATGGTATTCTCTTTGCTCCCTCCTTTTCTGAAGATCATTGCAACATTTTATAAAAGTGCATCTTGGGAAGTCTGTGCCCTAGAATGTCCTCTGCTGTGACTCATTGGTACTTCAGAGGCAGTGGCTCCTTTCTTCAGTGGGGAGCCCAATGAGTACGGTGGTCTTTTTTTTCAGCCATGATGTGGTGGAAAACAGTCAAATGGCTGTTTCTTGAATCCATGGGTCATGAGATAATAATACTTAAATCTTTTATAGCACTTTTTATCTGTAGATTTCAAAGCATTTTGCAAAAGAATTATTCCTGTCTCTACCCACCCTGAGAAGATAGAAACAATCTCTTCTTGCCTTTATAAGCTAGCACTACAAAAGAAAGAAATGTTGGGTTTTACCTCATGCCCCTGTTTTCCTTTCAGTATTGATTTCCTTTTATAGCTCCTACTTTTTCTCTCTTTTTTTGCCTATCCCCTTTTCTTCCTCTCCATTTTATTAATTTTCTCTGCATTTAAGTCTTCCCTTTTACTGAAAACACTTTTTAAATTTTCTTTCATTCGTTTGTTTTTTAGCATGCCAGAACATAATATGTGCAATATTAAAGCAGTCTAATTTATTCTGATATCTCCGAGAGTGGCAAATATAAGATGCTTGAGAGGAAGGCATAAAACTTCTGTATACCTAATTATGTTTTTGTTTCCTGATATGTGTTGTTCTTTTGCTTTACCTAATACACTCTGCAATATTTTCCCTGTTCTCTTGTTTTTGTTCGCTGTCCCTCCAGTGTGTGTGTGTGTGTGTGTGTGTGTGTGTGTGTTCTGTTACCATTCTCTGTCAGAATAACCAATTCAGGTTTTTGTTCTACTGGGCCAAGTACTTTAAAAAATAAACATTCTGTTTAAAAAATAGAAACACCTGCTATTGGATTTCTGACTCAGAAATGTTCAGTGTGGCTTACAGTTTATCTCTTTAGTTAGGGTTACAGATTATTTGACGTACGTCTCTATCAAGATAAGAGGCTTCTAATAATTTACTAAAAGATCTAGATTTTTACAGAGCTTAGGGCCCACAATTCACATGCATATGTGTAGTTGCCACCATTAAGCACAGAAACAGCTAATCAGGCACATTTTCATGTATAATCATACAATTTCTACACACAATAGGATTAATTGCACAAACATTTTGCAGGCCTAAACTGCCTAAAAATCCAATCCAAAGTATTTTATCCCTTTTATCTTATAATGAACATTAACATCATTTTTCTTTAATCTCCACTAAAACTCTGCATTCCCATTTTTAAGATTAATTCTTATGTTTTTCCCTAGTGCATGCAAGTTCAGTTACGGAGTGAAGGCAACATGTTTTATATGCATTTGCTTATGAACAAGCGTGGGCCATTGGCCAAAATATGGCTTGCTGCTCACTGGGAGAAGAAGGTCACAAAAACACACATATTTGAATGTAATTTGGAGACTACTATTGAAAAGATCATTTCACCAGGGGTATGTAGCCAATTATGATATTTAAGACCAGTTGTAGAAAGGTAGATCTTTTATTGGATAAAGAATATATCTACAGATTTTGTAAAGGTCCTTATTTGAAGTTAGGCAGACAAGGTGAGTGATGTAATATCTTTTATTGGACCAACTTCTGTTCATGCAGGAAACAAGCCTGTCTTAGAGATCTTCAGGTGTGGGAAAGTACTTGGTGTAGTTATTCAAGAGGGCGGTCGGGATTTACTGCCGAGGTGTTCTCACAGGTTCTGGCTCTGTTGATGATGATAACCAGAATGCTGCTTTCATGTGTGCTCAGTGCTGTGTGCTGTGTAGACTTGTGCACTTAGTCTCCACAGCAGACCCCAAGAGAGACCCAAAGACCACAAACCAGATAAGGATCAAAGGCTTCCGGCCAGGTTTATTGCTAAGCGAAGTACAGTAATAGTTGTCAATAGACTCTACTGAACCACTATGCATATGTACCCCATAGCAATGGAATGATTCAATCAGTTGGGAATTTCCACTGCCCCCTAGGTCATCCAAAGACTGTCCCCCCAAGACACCACCTTACATGCAGGTACAACAAATCACACCTCACTGCTGACAGATTACTACCCTCTGATGCTACTTAGATACCACCCATCACTCTGTACCTCATGGTTTTATTAGATCATCTCTGTGCATCATTCTGTCATTTTTAGACCCTTTCCTACACCTGAGTCTATAGTCTTTTTAATGAACTAGTGATATAATGCACTTTCCACTTATGACCAGTACGAATTATTGTTCTGCAGTCAGTACCTAGCACCAGTTAGTTTTTTGCACACTCAGCCCTGTTCATGCCAAGTTCAGTGGGCTGACACCTGCCTCTTGCTCACAGATATGTTTTGTCCATTGTTAGGGAGGCCTCAGGCCTCAGACCAGCCCTGTGCTGCACGGGCTTATGTTTTAGGCCTTCATCTTACTACACTCGGAGTGCCACAGCTAAAATAGCATGAAATGGATTGTTTAGCATAAGTAGTTATTAGGGCTGTGGTAGTGTACACAAATAAATGATTACCCTTCACAGTTACACAGGCTCCACCACCCCTGTGCTGCTGCCTCTGTTTCAGAGGCAACAACACGGGAGTGGGGTTGGGGGGAGCAGGGGGGAGCTGGTACATGTGGGGAGCTGGCTTTTAAGCCAGCTCACTATGCATACTCCCCTTACCTCATGTTGCTGCCTCTGATATAGAGGCAACAGCACAGGGGGAGGAGCAAGCAGCTCTGTGGGAGCCAGTGCTCGTGGGAAACCAGCTTAAAATGTTCAGCGGTTACACATTTACCGTAATCAATGCATTTTAATGTCCCCAGCAGTTAATAGGGATGTAAGAATTTAACTGGTTAAACTCCCGGCCACAGATTAGTTATACAGTTAGGGATTTTTTTAAAAAAATTTACATCCCTAGTAGTTAACATATATGAAGGAACCCTCCAAGGTGAAGTGGGACAAAGGAAGAGGGGTAAGGCTGCTGGCGTGAACAGGTTGTTTATGGATCATAGATTGTTTTTAATAAGCAACAAAGCCAGACCCTCTGTTCCCATGATACTTAGTGGCTATTAGAATTATACATTTAATCTCCAAAGTTTATTTTCTTGTAGGAGTTGGGCAGGTTTCCTTTGATAAAAGGGACTGAGAGATCAAATACGTAGTGATCAGTTAGTGAAAAGTGTTCACCCACAGACATGTGGTGGTGGTGTTCTTTTTCTTTTTCCCATGATAATTCATGTGATATCATCATCGTTTTGCTTCACCAACATAGTTGTTGATGGGGAACTTACTGCACTGATGAAGTATGCCATGTATTGTAGTAGCCATGTGTGGGACAACTGGATTTTGAAAGGTGTGTTGTACTCATTGGAACAGTATGGATATGTCTGCAGATTTTGCATCTGTTTTTCTGGCTGGGTCTGGTGCTACTTTGAGATCCACGGACAGGGGCTGCTGCTGGGGTCCCACATATGGAGCAGCAAGTGAACACACTGGAGCCGCTTCTAGCACTGACAGAGCAGCTGCATGACCGCCCTCCCCTCACAGCCAGTGTCCCAAAACTTTTTTTAGAACACCTTCCCATCTCTGCCAACAGAGTTGTGGCACCACCCTGTTCCTAGATGCCACCATCCGCTGCACTCCACACTCGGGATGTCGATGTGCAGTTGACTATACGATTAACTGATAAGCCTAGGCTTATCAGTTAATCGTATAGTCAACTGCACATCGACATCCCGAGTGTGGAGTGCAGCGGATGGTGGCATCTAGGAACAGGGTGGTGCCACAACTCTGTTGGCAGAGATGGGAAGGTGTTCTAAAAAAAGTTTTGGGACACTGGCTGTGAGGGGAGGGCGGTCATGCAGCTGCTCTGTCAGTGCTAGAAGCGGCTCCAGTGTGTTCACTTGCTGCTCCATATGTGCCCAACCCCTATTCAACTCCAGCTGAGACAGGGGTTATTGCTTGTCATGGTCCCAGCCTTCCCTGGCTGCTGGGGAGCCAGGCTGCCGTGTGGTGTGGCCCCAGGCCCTCCTGGGCGACTGGTCATTGTAGGCAGTTTTGCCTGTATTACCCACCACCCATGAACAAATGGTGGGTAGGGAGACAGAACAGAGAGGTGAAGTGAGTTGCCCAAGGTCAAATAGCAAGTGTGGCAGAGCCAGGAACAGAACCAAAGTCTTCTGAGTCCTAGTCCAATGTTTATCTACAAGGAATTGTCTTCTTTAAGTGATGATAACTCTTGATCTCCAACCCTGTGTTAACTTGAATATCTCAGTGCCAGATATTGTGTTATTTTATTGTTTAATTGAACTCCTTTTCTATGCTTAGTTTGCATAAAATTTATTCCAAGGCTTCACTGGTATACTTTTTGCTTTGTGTAATAATGGAAATGATTTTGTTTTAATAATTTGGCCAAAATAATAAGACTTATACAATTTTTAAAAATTGTTAAAGGTTAAAATTGCTCTGCGCACGTCAGGACACTTGCTTTTGGGAGTGGTGCGAATATATCATAGGAAAGTAAAGTATCTCTTGGCAGACTGCAATGAAGCTTTAGTGAAAATGAAGATGGCCTTTCGTCCAGGTACGTGCAGAAGTCTTCATTTCTCAGACCATATCTTTTACAGTGTCTCTTTAAATGTTCTTTGGGATAGTCCAGTCAGACATACATGATTGATTTCAAGAGAAGCTGGACTTCCTGGTGTATAAATGACTATTACATTTTGTTGTTTTAGTATATTTTGATCTTTTTTGGCTCCTTTGTAGTGGAGGAACTAGTGACAATGAAGACAAAACTATCCTGTTAAATACAGATACTTTTTCATTGTTACTTCATTCCTTGTCCTTTCTAATCCGGACACCCAAATTCTCTGCTGACCCTAGCAGTTAGTGCCAATTGTGTTAGTGTTTTTGTAATCTACCAGGATGCAGACCACCACATTCATTTAAAATGTAGCATCTGTTAAAGTTTCCTTTTATTTGGGTACCTAATAAGGAGGTAGTATTGTCTCATAGTTAGAGCAGAGGACTATGAACAGTGGAACTTCCACTCTATTCCCATGTGTACCATTGAATAATTCTATCACCTTTATCAAGTCACTTAAGCTTTTTATGATCTAGGGCAGGTCTACACTTAAGCTGTTGACACTACATTCCTCTGGGGGAGCATCCAGTAACCCCATATTAATCATTTATATATAATTGTGATACTTCACAGGGCATGCTTTCTGTGAAATATTGGGAAAGGCTATGATCTGCTAAATGCCATTGTTCTATCTAAATATGGATATTATTAGTGCATATGAAGTTATGACGCTGTTTTATGGTGGTCACTAAAATATACTGTGATTTGGGGAAGTGCCAAGATATTAGATCCCTGGAGACTAGGAAAAGGAAGCCAATAATGCCTGGGTGGGTGGTGAACAACCATCAATAGTCATTGTCCAGAAAAGGAGTTACAAGTCAATGACTCACTTGCACAAGGCCACATACTGGGAGAATTGCTATGCCCTGGGGATGTCATCAGATAAACCACTGTAGCAGCACAGCTTCAGGGCTTCAGTGAAGATATTACCTATGCCAGAGGGAGATAGGCACTCCACCAGGGCTGCAAACAGCTGAAAATGAATTTTATGGACAGTATATAAACAAATTACAGACATCCAACTTTTTTAAGGACACATTCTTATGTAATATAAAGATGGTTCAAAAGGATAAAAATGAACAGTATTTAGTGTTTGTATTCATTCATCACAACAGTCACGTTGTTGTGCTACTTTAATCTACTTACTAGCCACATCAGCGTCCTCTTAATTCTCCAGTTTGTGATCATACATTGCAGTAGCCACACTGTCAACCATTGCTTTAGTAATTTTTCCAGATCCATTTTTGACAATCAGTAATCTTTCCAGCATGGGAGTGGATGGTTTATGTCTTAGATTTAAGTGACTAACCCGCTGCTACACGTGATTCGCTGTACCCCACCTGCCAGCTGAGGAGAGCCCAGCAGGGGTATGTGCTGCATGCCCACACACCCACCAAAAGTTGCTGCTCTGCTGATGCTATGATGCTGAAGAAGAGTTCAAAGCTGGAGGCAGAGAAGAGCAGCCCCCATCAGTTAGGTCTCTGCCAGGAGAATTTCCTTCCCCTCACCTGCCCCAGGAATTGTAGATCCCCTGAAGCTGCCCTGTAGCACAGAGCTCACCCCAAGCCAAAGGGGAGGGAATGCAAAGCTTGATTTTTTTTTTTTTTACTGATATCTAAATGTTTTTACGGATTTTATTGAGAGATCCAATTTTAGCTCTTTTTTGTAGACTGTGCATGAATTTACTGATGGTTGGCAAGCCAGTACTCTACCTCTCCATGAGATGGTAGCTGTGTCAGTGGAAGAATTCTCCTGTCACATTGTCTGTACAAGCCATTTTGTTGTCTGTTCAGGTTGTCCATACAGGTCAATTTCACTGTGTCACCTCAGCCATATCTAGAGTGTGGGAAGATTGACATTGTGGCGTTTGATTTAGTGGGCCTAGTAAAGACCAGCTAAATCAAACACTGAGGGCACCCCTGTCGGCATCAGTACTCCTCACTGTCGCAAGGAGTAAGGGAAGTTGACAGGCATATTTCTCCCATCGACCTCCCATTGTGGGAATGGCGCCGAAGTTTGCCTTAAGGTACTTTGACTCCAGCTACGTTATTTATATAGCTGGAATTGCATACCTTAAGCTAACCTTCTCCCATAGTATAGACCAGGCCTTAGGGTGTGGATTATTCACACCTCTGAGCAATGTAGTTATGTCAACCTAATTTTCCTGGGTAGACCTGACCCTAGTGGCTGTCAGTGACCAAAAGCTTCCATGGCCTTTAGTGCTACTAGTAGTAGTTCTAGCAGATTTACAGCATTGCAGAACCTCTAACAATTTTCAATGGTACAGTACATTCGTAGGTATGCCAATAAATAGTGTGCCTCTAAAATGTACATAAATTAAAGATCAAATTCTATTTTGGACTCCTAGTGACAATGGCAAACTTTGTTTAGGTTGGCAACAGAACACCCTGATTGATTTAGTCTTATTGTATACGCTTGTGAGAACATGATTGTTTATCACTGCTAATTTTGTTATGTTTTGCATTTCTTTTAGGACTTATTGATTTTCCAAAAGAGTGCTTTGAAGCTGCTTATAATTCTATTACATTGCCTGAAGAATTTCCTGATTTTGACACACAGCTGCCTGACTTGAGGTAAATGTTTCTCAAGGTTTTTTATATATTTTTTATATTTTGTTTGGCCTCATTCTTTCAGAGATAAAATGTATACTCTCGCTTGTTTTCTGACCCATATCCAACATACAGGTAGTCATTCTGGTTATTTGAATTTAATAACCTGATTCTTTCCTATTTTAAGATGTAGAATTATGTATTGGTACAGTTCTTCCAGTCACCTTTTATGAACACAGATTTTTTTCAGTTTAGTTGTTTTTCTTTAGGCTTTAGAAGTTTTTCATTTTATTTATTTGAATGAATACTAGAGACAGAAAAGTTGAACTGCTTTCCTCCAAAGGAAGCAGCCCAAATAGCCCAGTTCATTCTTTTGTAAGAACAGAGTAGCTTGTATCCATGGCATAGCAGTCCTTTACAGCTAAGATATAAAATTGAATGTATTATTCTGGTCTTTTGCTCCCCTGGTATGCTCCCCTAGGGGTAACATGTTGACACTTTAAAGGTTATGAAGAGCTAGGAACTAAAATACTTTTTTCTGAATTACTTTAGTGGGGGTCAGAGCCAAGGCATAATGCACCTTCAGAGAGATTTCCCCTTTGTCACAATACATTTATTTTGGATCTGAAAGTCTTTAGTGGGGTTTTTTGTTGTTACAAATCTAATTTAAGAATGCCTGTAGCTTACTGATAAATAATACATAACTATTTTCAGTCTAATCAAATAGCACAGTGTGGCAATCTGTGAGGAACAATGATGGGTCTCGCTTTTTAAAATTACCTTAAGAGTTTATAGGATTTAATTTACAGGTGATAACGCTGTGTTGAGGAGTCCAATATATGGCATTTTAACAGGAAAAAAAACAGATCTTGTTTGTAAGAAAATTTTATAGAATTTTATAGAAGCTGAAGTTGGGGAAGATAAAAATGTGGTTGGTAGGCAAAAAGAAGATTTTATAGAACATTATGGGGTGATATTTTCCCCTGTTAAGGGGATGCCCCCATCTTTTGTTAAGCAGGTTTGGAGTCAAGGGATATATCTTGATTACAGATTGCTCTTGGAATTAGAGGTGGTATCAGTACACAGTAGCACCTCTTTCTAACTGCACTTAGCTAAATACTTTCTCGACAGTGTGGACCTTACCATAGTCATTGTACCTTTGTAACTTCATGCTTAGATTATTTAAAATTCCGTGCAAGCTTTTTTGAAGTAGGGATGTGAAATCCTATTTAATCAGTTAACCAGATTAACTGGTTAACAACTTAAATAGGTGTAAGTGGGGGGGGGGGAGCACTCCAGCTCCTCCCACCTGGGGCACACGAGGCTGGACCCACTGTGGGTGGGGGGAAGAAAAGGGAGGCTGCTCCAGGTGTCCCGTGCCTGTGGCAGGCGGGGGGATGCTCCAACCCCTGCTGGTTAACCGTAACTGGTAAGAATCACCCAGTAAGGGTGATGCTCACTGGTTAATCAATTAATCATTCACATCCCTACTTTGAAGATTATGTAGAACTTCAGCAACTACAGAAGGCAGCTGCCTGCTTGCTTTGAGGTATCAAATGTAGAGAGTATATAGCATCTATTTTCCAGTGGCTACGCTGTTTTCTTTTTAGCTTCTAGATGAAATTAGAAATGTCAGTTTTAATCAATAAAGCCCTAATTGGTTTGGGTTCTGGCTGCCCGGGGATTGCCTTTTTCCCTGAACAAGAATTGACATCATCTGGGGTGTTTTGGAGACTAAAAAGTAGCAATTTCATGCACTTTGTCTTTCTGAAGGAAAACAATGAGGTTTGTGTACCCTCTGGTTACAGGCTTTTTGCCTTCCAGTACCTGGGCCAGTGGATTACAATTTTCATGTGGGTTTTTTATATCTTTACATTTTTCATTAGTGCCATTGATGTTGCTGAACATTTTACTTTGAATCAGAGCAGACGTGAAGACATCACACTTCCAGAGGATTACGGAAGGACCATATTTCCCAGTGATGGGAATTTTGGTGAGAACAACTAATAAATTAGAATTTAGAATATAAAGAGTCCTTAATGTAAAGGAGACTCAAGCCTAGGATTTTGCCTATATTGTGCTTTCATTGGTAAAACTTTTGTCTGTCAGGAGATGAAAAAACTTCTCTCTGACTCGCTGGGAATAGTCTGCAAACAATAAGCGGCTGCACTGCATACCATGGCTGTAGCTGCACTTAAATTGTTCTGTAATGCAACGTTATTTTGAGAATTTTGTAAAACTCTGAGGAAATTGACAAGAATGCATTTCATCATATTGACAGAAGGAGTTGTCAATAATTATGTGTGTTTGTTCAGGTGTGGAGACCGAAATATTAAGAGGACATAGCTTCTTCAGTGATGACATATTGATGAGTACTAATAGTCTCTTGCCTGATCAGAGCTCATTGAGCCTCAGTGGAGACAAAGCTGTACTATGTGACAACACGCATGGATTCCTACACGATGGTTTTGGAGACGAAGATGTTCCTGGGGATATGATTGGTATGGTTTGTCGTAGATTAACAGAATCCAGTCAATTCTGTCCAAAGTATTTTTACTGTAAAAACTGTACACAATGTAAACAAAAATAGAATTTGCATTTGAAAACATTTTTTTCTGCAACTTACTGTTTTTCCCTTTTATGCTTTCAGCGTTTCGCTATATATATCATCAATTTAGAGTAAAATATATCATGAGATAATTTCAATATTCCCATAATCAGGAATTATAAAACCAGGAGATTGAAAGTTAAGGTTAAACTTGAAATAAATTCAACTAAGATATAGAACTGCACAGTTAGGTGTACATTTATGCCAAAATTTTAAAGTATCTTTTTAAATTTGAACTCAATCTAGTTAACAATTTTCTGGGAAATTCTCAGAAAATTAATTCTGTTCCTAAAGAGTAAGTTTTGCAGCTTTGGGAAGGATATGCTGTATCTTCACATTTAACAAAGCTCTGGAGTTGCTGCTTCAAGTACAACACTGAGCTCTGCCTTTATATGTCACCAAAAGTCGTTTATTTTGCGGGATTAAACTCTGTATAACTGCTTCTAAATAATTCATTATAATGGATTCTACTGGTCTACTTCATAAATAATGCTTTTAAAAACATTTGTATCTGTTTGTCCTGCTGACCAGATCACCTATGATTTATTTAATAGCTTTTTATTTGAGATGTAAATTTAATTTTGTGTTGATGCAGTGGGTATACCATAGGGTATTGTAAAATATTCGTTTTAATTTTCTAATGTACGTATTTAACCTTCCGGTGATTACTGCTGTCTTTGGCTATTCCTCTGTGTGCGCCAAGGGGATTCATTGGAGGGTTTTTAGGTGGCTGAGGAGCCCAATTCATGCCCTGCAGATTTTCCCACAGGAGTAACAGGTGTAATCTTGGAGGAGATATGGCTGTTTGTTAGACTGTTGTGTCCTTTCTTTCCTTCCTTTTTTTGCTTCTTTGTCTCATGTTGAGTGTATCTATTCTTCTCCAAAATGAACTGTGGCTTGGTGTACAATGTGGCACTACTGTGTTCTGTTCTGTGCTAAGTCCTCCCAATTTGATAAGTAATGCCTCCCTTTTTAAGGGGTACAGGCAGTCCCCGGGTTACGTACAACATAGGGACTGTAGGTTTGTTCTTAAGTTGAATCTGTATGCAAGTCAGAACTGGCGTCCAGATTCAGCCGCTGCTGAAACTGATCAGTTCAACAGCGGCTGAATCTGGATGCCAGTTCTGACTTACATATGGATTCAACTTAAGAAACCCAGGTGTCCCAAAGTCAGCTGCTGCTGAAACTGATCAGCGGCTGATTCCAGGAAGCCTGGGGCAGAGCAACTCTGCCTCGGGCTTC